TTCAATGTGAAATTTTAACATGAAACCCTTTATTTGTTTTTCAGCTACAAGCAATCAAGTTATTATTTCAAAAGAATGCCCTAGTAATTTACAACTGAGATTCCTAATTTTGCAAATTCTTTATGAAAAATTTGCAACTTCATTTCAAAATGTTAAGAGGAAGCACTTTATTGAATGTTTGAAGTTGCAAAGCAAAAAATCAAGTTATTATTCCAAGAGAAAGCTCAAGTGATTTGCAATTGAGATTCCTAATTTTGCAACTTCAGTTTGAAATTTTAACATGAAACCCCTTATTTGGTTTTAGCTACAAAGCAATCAAGTTATTATTCCAAAAGAGAGCTCTAATGATTTGCAATTAAGATTCCTAATTTTGCAGATTCTTTACAAAAAATTTGCAACTTCATTTTGAAATTTTAACAGGAAGCATTATTGAATGTTTGAAGTTGCAAAGCAAAAAATAAAGTTATTATTCCACAAGAAAAACTCCAGTGATTTGCAACTAAAACTCTCAATTTTGTAACTTCTTTTCGAAATTTTGCAGCTTCAGTTTGAAATTTCAACATGAAACACTTTATTTGTTTTTCAGGTGCAAAGCAATCAAGTTATTATTCCAAGAGAAAGTTTCAGTGATTTGCAACTGAGATTTTCAATTTTGTAACTTCTTTATGAAATTTTACAACTCCATTTCAAAATTTTAATAGGAAACACTTTAATAGGCACAGAAGATATAAATTGTACATATCAGCTACATATATTAATTCTTCTAGTGCATCTGCACATATAAATACTTCACATACATTAAAGCATCAATTTGGATTTACAAAAAAAGGGTTGCTATATACTAAAAAAAAACCCCCTGAAACTACCAATATATACATATACACACACATACATATGTCAACCAAATCTAAGTTGATCTAATTCCAAATTAAAGAAATATCAACTAGAGTTCATGAGAACTATGAGGACGAAGACAACTATGACTTCTATACTATCTCAAATAGAAGCTTCTCCACAGGGATTAGAGCAGAGCCAACTATGACGGCAACCACACTATCTTTGAAGAGAGCTTGGCCCACAAGGTTGTCTACGTAAGTGTCACTAGGTCTACAAATGTGATACTAGTGATCAAGGCGAACTATGAGGGTGCGATTTGTGAGTTTTTAGCGAAGTCCTTAGCCAAAGGATTGTACCGTTGGTAAAGCAATCTTGAGAATGGGTTGTAGGTGAGACTGGCACCTTCCACAGTTCCTAATTTTGGTTTCAAACTTTGAGAAGTGAATGAATTGAAGGAAGAAGAATGATATTTTGGGAATTGAACAAGGATATTTAGGTAAATTAATTTTGTTCATATAATCTTCCTTAAGGACCTTGGGACTTTACTAGTGCTTTGGAATTTCTTGGGACTTTCTTGGGAGTAAATGCATGTCTTAGGACTTATTTGTCATTCTCCCTTTTTATTTTAAAAAAAATGGATAGCAACATGAAAGAATATGAAAATATATTGAAATCACAAAAAGGAATTCATGTTTATACAAGGTAGAACTAGAAAATATTAATAGGGGGACAAAGTAGAAAATTTTAAGAGGGTGGAATTGAAACTTTTTCTAAAAAAATGTTATATGCATATATAATCGAGTAAATAAGTAAATTATTTCCTAAACTTTAGATCCATTAGTATTATAGATGTTAAACTAATTTATTATAAAAATTATTCTCTCAACTTTTAAAAATGATACAATCTAATTTCGGCTGTAAAAGTTAACTTTGATATTTAGTTGATTAGAAAAATAACAGAAAAAACTCAAAAATTTTAAAAGAGGACCAAAAAATTTTTGGTCATCTTTTGTAATTTTTTAAGCCCTTGTTTGTAATTTTTTTATCCTTTTCTGCCATTTTTAACACATTTTTTGTCAATTTTTTAGTCATTTAACAATCAAAGTTAAGTTTTGTTAATGACATGGGCTATATTGTATTATTTTTAAAAGTTGAGGAAATAATTTGCACAGTAAACGAGTTTAGGCCTATGATACTATTGAACATAAAGTTTAGGAAATAATTTACTCATTTGTCCTTCCCCTTGTGTGTATAAAATTCTAAATTCATTATTTTTTCATACAACATTTAAAAGGACAAGATTTAAATATTTAACATCATATACTTAATATATTTCTCTAATCAAATCAGAATAAGTGAATTTTAAAGTGTTAACAATATTAATAATAGGATTTTTTTATATAATAATATATAATATTTAAAATTGGATGTATTTTCATAGCAAAAGAAAAAACAAATAGATGTATTTCCTGATAAAAATTAGAAAAATATATTTGTGGGTCTTTATAGTTTTGTTTTAATTTTGAATTACATTCCTAAATTTTATTTTTTTAATTAAATTATTATATTTTTATTAATTTAATTTATTAATCCCTAAAAGTTAAAATTGTTAAGTTTTTCTTTTAAAAAATTGAAAACTTCTATATTTTTTTCAATGATATATACCTTTATAATTAATTACATAATTTTTATAACTCAAAATTTATATAATTAGATTGTCTTTTAAATATTTTTTATACATTTTAATTTTCATTAAAAGTAATAAAAATATAAACAATTATAAATCAATTTTTTTTTGTTTTGTAAAAGTATTAAAGTAAATTTTCTTTAAACTCCAAAAGAATTTTTGTTTTGGGAAATTTAATAATTCATTATCAACTTTAATCTTCAAAAATTAACATATATAATAAATTAAATTGTAAGGACTCAATTAAAACAAATTAAAACATAAGGACCTAATTGAAAATTAAAAAAATATAAAACTTGTTGATATATTTTCTTTATAAAAATTCTCATTGCTGTGCCAATGATACTTAATCATAATGGCACAAAAACAGGAGTATTCACCAACTACCAAGACTAATTTTTCTCAAGGGATGAAAAGTTAAAGGCAAACATTTTTCAACCAGATTTGATGAATAAACAAAAGTTGGAAATCCAAACCACAAAAGAAAAATATCTTTATTTGCAATAACTTGTGTTTTTGCATTTTTGAAGTCCAATGATTTGCCACCAAAATTTTAAAATGATAATTTTGAAAACTATTTTAAAAAATAAAACGGTCTACAGCAAGCAAAATAGGATTCTAGTGTCAGTTGAACATAAAAAAAAAATGTTAGGCACCCCACATCAGGGTTATTTTAAGTTGACTAAACAAAATTAATGTGACCTAAAATGAAATTTAATTACCCTTAATTAATGAAACAATAAAAGAAAATAAGAAGAAAATTAAGATTAAATCAAGAAAAATATTATTTATTTACATGTTAAACTTGACTTAGGATAAATACTAGAACTTGTATACCCTTTAGAGGGATCAAAATCCACATAGTTCGAAGGTAAGGTGCATGTCATTTGTTGGTGACTTTTAAAGGAATGATTTAAATTTTGAAAACTAATTTTTTTTTTATTAAGTTTGTATCTTTTAATTTATAAAGGTGAATTCTTCCAATATTTGACAAAAGATTTTGGAAGAAAAAAATTTAGATTAAAGTTCCTGCAGAGATTCTAAAAATCTCACATGAAGATTAATTATTTCATGCCCACAGAGATTTCAAAATCTCACACAATATAAAAGTCATTTTCTTAATTTGTTTATTTATTTTTTTAATAAAAGATGACTTTTTTATTTTTTTTAAATGGATTTAAGATATACCTGTAGTAACCTATTGCTACACATGACATATCAATTAACCATGTACTTGTGAAATATTCTAAAAATCTCACATGATAAAAATAAAAAGAAAGGAATTTAAAGACAAGCCAAATCTATATATCCCATAATGCCCTTAAATCAAAAATAATAAAAGCAACAGAAAGGGAGGGGACTCCATACTTGATGCGTGCGTTTGAACACAAAATAATCGAGTGATAAACAATAAACAAGTGATATAGGACAAGCCAATACCTGAATCAATCACCATCTCTTGAAATTCTTTCACTTATGTTAAGTACACAAGAAAATTGGGAACAAAGTTGAATATAGAAACAACAATGGAGGATGTGTATGCATATTAACGACAAGGAGGATAAGTACCATGTAATCTTGAAGTAACCATAACAAGGCGAATATTTGGCAAAGAAATTAATGGGATAACTATAAACAGTCTCGGGCAAAATAAAGATATGTCTAGAACTTTAGATATTAGGATGTTTATTGGCATGAGAAAGCATCTGGACACATGATGAAAGATGCAATGGATGCCCTTAACAAATTTCCAATTCCCCTTCCTATCTTACATACTCTTCCTTTCCATGTTTCCCTCTCCCCTTTTCTTCTTCTTTCTTGACTCTTCCTTTCCTTTTATAGATTAGAATTAAAACTTCTATCTTTAATGATTGAATCCCATCAAATTATAATTTATAATTAATTTTATTTAACTTTTATCATTATATGTCAAGACACAAATTTGAGAATCAAATCTTCATTTGATTTTTTTCAACTGAAGACTCATTAAAGTATAAATTTGAGAATTTTTTTCATTTAAATTTTTATTTATTAATTTCCATTTTTTTTATTATTTTATTAAAAAAAAGGCTTCTCAATTATTTTTGTTTATTCATTTATTTTTTGTGGGCCCAGACAAAATGGGTATTTACACTGGCCAAATTTAGATATTTATCGTTGATATCCAACACATGACCAATATGAGCTTTAAGTAAAAAAAATCACATAATGATAGAGCTTAATTTTCAATTTCACCTATCTATTTATTAATAGCATAATAGAAAAGCATAATATGAAAATTCAAATCTAACTCATCCAGTTGAGCTGATAAATCATTAAATCAGTGTTTTGAACGATCCAATAAAGCATTTTATTTATGACTAACTTAATCACAGTTTGAATTAATTTTTGAATAAGTGTTTTGACGGATTCAATATTCACTCTGATTTTCAGTACGTTGAACACAAGTGACAAACCCAGATCCATGCTAACAAAGTAGGGAAAAAATTATGGTACTTATGTAGCATCTTCCAAATCACGTTGGTTTTGTAACAAAGGATCTTTGATAATGAGAATGAAGCTTCCAGAAAAGAGGAAAAAACAAAATTAGATTTTTGTAAGGGCGAAAATGGGAGCTCAATCCACTATTATAACATTACGGTAAAAGGCTCAACGGAAGACAATATTTGATCCCAATGTCTCTTTTCACCTCAAGATTCAGGGGCATAGGCTCAAGGGAAGACAATATTTCATCCCAATGTATCTTTTCATCTCAAGATTCAGGGGCATATTCTTGAATGACTGATGCCAATTTATTTCTATCTTCTTCTGTTTTCATCCGGATCAAGAATGTTCGGGCTACAACACTCTCTTTATCTCCGTCACTCCCATCCACGTTATCCTGCAAAAATCTCAGCATTCACATTTGCTTTTCATGGTTTTTCTTTTTTAATCAAAGTAGACAACTACAGCCCAGTTGGGGGAAAAAAACTGAAAAGGATTGATAGAGACTTGGTAGTATGGAATACCAAGTCCCACATTAAGGAGAATGGGATGCTCAATTAAATATTTAAATAGGTTAGTACTCCCATCTAAACAGCTATCTTTTAGAGTAAAGCTCCTCATCCCACTTATGTGTCCATCAATTGGTATCAAAGCCTAATTGTCAGCAATTCTAGAAAGGGCTACTTAAGAAAGATTATAATCAGCAGAAAGCCAATTAAATGCCATGGAGTGTAGTTGTCAGGATATCAGCTTTCTATGGGGAGCCAAGTAATAATAACTCCGACATTGAGTAGTATGGAATATTCAATGGAGTATTTAAATAGATTGGTTCTCTTCCCTTAACAGCTAACTTTTGTGATAGGGTTTTCCATCCCATTTAGATAGATACCCATCAAGAATAAATAGAGCCCACAAAGAAAAGCAAAACAGAGATGTCAATGGTCTCTGCTTATCACGCTCAATCCACCCACTACATCCTACGGGGAAATCAGTGATTTTTCATTTTAAATTCAAGAGAGTAGAGAACCTACAGGACTGGAAACAATTCAGGATACACAATAGGAGTTAGGAAGCTAGGGACTCCTCTTGAAAAGAAGGGGACCAAGGGGAGAGAGAGAGATCCTGTCACAGCGGTTTTCCATTATTCTGAAAGTTTAGCCTTTCAAGTTTTTTCTCCCAAAAACCAAATATACACCCTGGCCCATAAAAATGAGGAAAAAAGCAGAAGCGAGCAGCAAATTGGTCAATCATGTTAGAAGCGTATAAAAACCAAACTGTTGATGGGATACGGAACGTGGGCATTTTTCTGAGTTCTCTACAAATATTTTGCTAATTTAAACTTGTATTTTGTATCTGCATATGCATCATAATGAGAAATATTTCATCCCAGGTTTCTTACCGAAGTATGGAATATTGCAACAAGTGAGTTCTTCTGATGATTTGTCTTAATGCCTGGATAGAGCAAAGCATTGAGAAGGATTTTTCCGACCTGCCATCAGTAGAAGTAAAAAATTTGAAACTAGAAAAATGAATTTCTTGGGGGAAAAAAAAAAAGGATTTGCATTTGCATCAATTACTTTCAAAGCTACCAACACACATACAATAAGAAAAAGGGTAAAAAGAATAAACCTCATTTCTAACAACAATAGTTGGTTTGGAATCTTTGGTAGCCTTGCTAAAGCCATCTTTGCATTTAATCGACAATTGCCCCATTCCTCTATCTTTCCATGCATCCTTATCCTCCGGATCGGTTGACTAAACATATCAAGGATAAAGACACCAAATAATCGTCATTAACATCATGAAACCAAGTCAAAGCAATACATGCCCACAAGTCTAAAAAACTGCATTTCAAAGACTCATTAATCATATACACTAAAAAGAAACTTTACTGGAGTCACCATATAACGTAGTCTATAATAACACCTTCACGTAAAGCTTGCACTTCACTTCATGCACAACTACTACTCCCTTCTCTTCTGACTTCTTCACAGATGGGCTGCTAGGCTGCTGCAATTCATCTTATGTAACAAAACGAAGAACATTTATTAACCATCCCCCTTATCAGATTAGTCATTCATGCCATAAAAGTTGTGATACTGGAAGAGTTTGCAAATGTCGATATCCCCATCACCAATGATACTTAAATGCATAAAATAAGAAAAAATAAGCAAATACATCTACATCCGAACTAGAAATGTCTCCATTTTATCATCAATTTAAAAAAAAAAAAGGGCAGAACACTGAAAATCATTGGCGACATAAAAATAAATCGGTGATAGAGCAAATAGTATTAAGAACAAAAATACACAAAAGTTTACGCCTTTGCAATGTGGCAAGAAATACCAATATGACATTCTTAAATCATGAATCAGCAACATACTCATAAGACCCATAATTTTTTAAGCTCCCAAGGTTGTATCCAACACTAAACATGTAGTATATTTAAATTACAAGAATTAGGCTTCACTTAATTATAAATGCATTACTGAGCTTGTGAATTATTTAATACTTAAAATCTACTCATTTTGTAATTTATTGGGTTAAATTTATTATTTTGAGTATTCATTTACACTTCTTGTAGGTACAAATTTTATTTTACAAAATTTGGCAACTCCAATGTATGTATATATGCATGACAGGGATATGCAATTACTAAAGTTCCAACGTCCCATTTTCTATACTCTCCCTTTGTATCTCTCTTTCCTTCATGTCTACTAAAACGTCGTTCAGTTATAAAAAATAGAGTCCATCATAATCTCACTAAAGTAGCAGATGCCACTGTTTTCTCAGCATAGGTTTTCACACGTCATAAGCATTGTCCATGTAGAGAAAGACAGTTATTAACTCCATCAAGCATTAGAAGAAGATATGTGGAACTATTTTAACCATGAACTAGGAGAATGTGCCCCGGAAAAAGAACAAAGGCCTCAAATTCTAACCTTCATCTACATCATCAGAAGCATCACCTTTAGAGAGAGCTGAACTTTGATTCCCTAAAAAGTGAGCAGAAACTCAATGGTCAATCTCAAAACGAAACAGTGACATGATATTCTGCTAAAGTTCATGTTATGGCTTTGAACCCCAATAGAACAGATGACAGAATGCCTCACTTATCATATAAGCTGAATTCTGTTAATTTCCATGCTATTTGACAACTAAGGTGTCCTTTATCTTGTTTTCCAAATTAAAATGCAAATGCAATTTGAAGCTCTAGATCTGATATTAGCATTTTTAGAAAGGATAAATAATTAGTTTTGCTCTAACAACAGATGGATCCTAATATTAAGTTCTTCACATGACCACTTCCCGTCATTAGAATTTCAGACCAGCAGATATAATTCTTATAGGCTAAGAATGGAATTGAATGATCTAAGCTTAACAAATTTTTTTATCATATGATCAAATTTTTCAATTTTAACAATTTCTTCTAGGGTGTAGCATGCAATAAATGAAATCATTCTAACTAATCACCAATGGGATCTCAATCTAGAGTTGCTAATACGGAGAAAGCAGCCTTATGTGGAATGTGATGGGAAAATCTTTAGAATACAAGACTTACCAAATAAAACGGGGGTTTGATTGTTGGAGAATATTCCAGTAGGGTTCCATGAAATTGTAGAACTTGTCGCAGTGCTAACAGGAGGGAACACTGTTTTCTGACCAAATATGTTATTTTCTTTTCTGGCCACTTCAGGAAATGATTTCTTTGCAGCATGGAAATTTGTGTTAGGAGGCAAATTCTCTCCCTTGACAGCATTTGATTTGATCCAGTTGACAACGTCACTGAATTTTTCCTGAAACGATACATGGTATATGCTCAACATGTAATGTGCTTCAATAGCAACATGATACCTAGTCTATGGAGCTGCCCAAACTAGCTCAAAATAAACAAGCAGCAAACAATCTTTAAAATAGATCAACACCTATTAGTCTCAGCCCCTGTTGTACTATATGGTTAGAAACACCTAATTTATTGGATGCCTTAAACAACAAATATTTGCTTGCTGAAAAGACACATATTCAATGCCATGGTAGAACAAAAACGGGCAGGAACCATCTCAACAACCATATATGACCCCTTCTCAGTCTGATTCTGCAAAGCTGTCAACACATGTATAGTATCTTATCACTCCTCAGGCATTATCTCAATAGATGTAGAGCAACTTCCAAATTCCTTCCACAACTAGACACTTGACACGATTCTGACCAAAACAATCTTTCTGAAGTTGGCACAATAAGCTGTGCACATGTCTCATATTAGGAAATGTCATTATATAATACATAAAATCTAACAAGTCACACTATTAATAAGCCATGGATAGTGCTACTCATTCTTCATACTCTACAATACACATAACCCACATCAAGTTTTAAACAAATCAACATTGCTCAATCTTCTTTTTGCACACAAGTCACAGCTGCAATTGACTTGTCATCTTAAATTAATGAAGAATTCTTTGAAACTTACAAATCTAGCCATAAGTCTACAATTAAACCGGATATGAATGCTAGGTATGTCCATCAGGGTGTACAACTATATAGTTTAATTACAGTGAACACAAGTAAAAATAGTAAAAGCAGGACTCAATCAGACCTGTAATAGAGTACGGCTGAACACATTAGAAAGAAAAGTTATATAGCTTAGACAACTTCAGAGCATTGAATCATATGAAAAATTACCATTATGCTGGAAGCATGAGTCAAGTAATCTCTCACACCATCTTCCCAAAGATCATCAGGATGATTCTTCAGTTGACTTTGAATCCAGCTATTCATAAGAAAAACCACAGCATGAAAATGAGAAAAATTCATAACTCAATAAAGCTAAGAATAATGCATGATGGTAGAAAGCAGGCATATGACAATCATAACCATAGGAATGTGATATCCTTCAAACTGAAATTTAGCTAATAGGACATGAACATGCATGATAACCACCAAATTAGATAACATAATTGCTAAAGTCAAAGTACAAAGAGGATTTATTTTCAGCCTGCAAAGAGGATATATATATTTGATTGAAAAGAGGACATGAATGCAAAAGCAAATTTGATCACATGAAAAAAGGATGGACCTTGCAAACTGAGTGTTTAGAGCTCTCACATGCTGCTGTGATGACTCAGCCCGTTTCGTATCCAATGGCTGTGTTGTATCCACAGGTGGTTGGGATGGTTCTGCCCTATGAAATCCAAAAGGAGATCCCTCCATTATTCTTTTACTCTGGAACTGCATTATATTCGAAGCGAAGATATAATAAGCTTCAACAAAAAGTCACAAAGAATAAAGCCAATTTAACATCAACAGGCTGGCAACACAAAAAAACAAAAAACGAAAAAAAAAAAAAGGAAGGAAAACCCACGGACAGAAACACATTATGCATAGATTTATCACGATCAGCCAATGGACTTCACTTCAGGTAAATTTTGTGCTTAAATGAACTGAAAAAACTCTTCTATCTCGTGATTAATCTTTACCATTCTCAAGCTTTGAAGCGTTTAAAGATTAAAATCATATATTTGTCAGTAAATCGTGTGTCAAACACCATCAGCTGATGATTGTCTTCATATGCAAGGTTGAACTTCTTATTCTTCCAAGTCTCCATCTTCCACTTTCCATACACCAGTACCGCTGTTCCTCTCATAACAAAGTTCTTGAATACAAAAAAAGGATAAACTCTCGGTTCTAGATAAAAGAAGTTCGAAACCATGTCGAGGACACTCGGTGTCAATTTAAAAAGAAAAAAAAGGACCCATTTGCATTTTGCTGAACACTTTCCAAAAAATTTCTTCTTTACAATTAAAGCGCAAGAGATTGAAGGAGACACAAAAATGTGAAGATATGGCAAGTAAGCATCAAAGTGGCAGTTGCCAAAGCCAACGGACACAAAAGCACAAGTGAAATTCCAATGCAGCCGAAGCTTCAAGCTACTTCAATAACATGAATTCCAGAGCAGGAAAAACGAGTTGCTAATCACTAATAAACTTACGGTGGTTTCGTTGCTATCGGGGTTGGGGTCCGACGCAGCAAAACGCTTTGTGCCTCTCATGATGATGTCACGCCGTCAGCCTGGCACCAACCATACAAAAATTTTGGTGCTCTACCTTCTATTCCAGGCTTTGGCTCTCTTTTCGGAAAAAGGTCCTTTCAGCTTCATAGTTATGAATAAAAAAAAATATTGCTCAATATTAATCATGGTATTGAAACCCGGACCGGACCGGCCGGGTCAACCCAAAAACCGGTGACCCGGTCCCTTGTCTGGTCTGGATTTATTCCTAAACCGGTGACGAAATAAAAACCGGTGTAACCCGATCAACCCGGGTTCAACCCGGTATAACCCGGTGGTTGACTGGGTTAACCGGTTATTTTTTTTGACTTTTTTTCCATTTTTTATTTTTCAGAGTGCTGAATTTAGAAATAAGATAATAAAAAAAAGTAAAACTAAAGTTAAAAAATAAAAAATTAGAGATAGAGCACGCTAAGTCCAATTCAGATTTTCAGACAGCATTTATTTCGGCCTTTCATCTGTGTCTCTCCTCTCTCACCCTAACCTAATCAGTGTCTCTTCTCTAGCTTAGTCTCCGTCTCTTCTTCAGGCTCCAGCTCTATCTCCATCTCTTCTCCAACTCTATCTCTTTCTTTGCTATCTCATCTCTTCTTTAACTTAGTCTCTGACTCTTCGTTTTTTCTAGCTCAATCTCCGTCTCTCTCCAACTCTATTTCCATCTCTTCTCTAGACTTTTGAGATTGAAGAGTTGTAAGTGTAATGAATCATGATAGATATTTAAAATATTGTATTTTATTATGTTAGACTTTTGATGGTTGAATTTAGTTGAATATTTTTATAATTAATGTTTTTTATTAAATTGTATTATTTTAATCATGACAGTTTGCCACCGGTTCAACCCCCGGTTCAACCCTAATTGAACCACTAACCCGTGACCCAGTTGCCAATACCGGTTCAATGACCGGTCCGGTTTTACGTACTTGATATTAATCGAGTCTATTTCAGCCGCTGGTCAGGTGGGGAACTTACTTTCAATTATGACCGTTCGATTAGGTGTGGGTAATATCACCCAATTAGAATAAAATAAATTTCAGAACAATATCTTATGCATCGGGTGAAAGGAGAGAGAGAGTGTCTGTATAATTAATATGTCAAAAAATTTGTAATCTTATTAATGTGTCTATAATTTATTTTAGCAATTAATGTGGTCTTATTTATAAAATTAATAGAGATAAGACACATTTCTGGCATAGTGATTAATGTTCTATTAAATTTTAAATGATATGTACTTTGTCTAATTTCTATTATAAGATATTTTTAACTATTTCATTAAAGCCAATAAATAATAGTTAATTCATTAAATATGTCTAAAAAAATAAAAAAATTCCAATTTACCCAAATTACAAATAGAAAAAGAGATACACATATATATTAAGTAATAAAATTAAATTTATAATAAGGGTAAATTGAAAAATAATACTATTAAATACCCTTTCATGTGTCCTATATTAAGAAATAAAGAATCTTTTTAGAATGTGTCTATGTACTGAAGGTAGTATAATAAATAAAAATACTTCAAAAGTAGTGAACATTAAAAAAAAATAAAGAGATAATGCAAGTTTTAGTCCTTTGCATATGGAAGAGTTATTGATTTGACCCATCAAGTTCAATTTGTATCCTTTCAGTCCTTAAGGCTTCAATTATTGAGTTAGCTCTTTAAGTGTGGCAAGAAAAATTAGCTCTCAAAAAAATCTGACATGTAAATTAAATTACTAATGAGGAAAATATATGTGGATTAATTCATACACCTAAGCCAAATCTCCTAGTCCTAATAGCTTATTTGTTATTGATTTTACTATTTTACAATTCTTAATTAAATCTACATAGCTTTTTTTAAATCTATGTGACTTTTTTCCTTAAATATGTTGCTTTTTTCCTTGTTCAAGTCATTATTTTTTCTTCTCACATTATTAATCTACATGGTTGTCACATTATCATTTTGTTAGTCATGTCAACATAATTTTATGTTATTAATTTCTCTCATAAGATTAAGGACTACTTAGATAAGTTTATGAAATGTTAAGTATTAAAAAGATAAAAATTAATCTTGAAGGACTAAATCGATAACTCTCCCAAATATAAGGGACTAAAAGCTGCATTATCCCAAAAAATAGAGAGAGTAGTGATCACTCCCGCAAGTGCACGAGATTGATATAATAATAATTTAGGAATTAGTGGCGACTTAAATCATAGTTTCACAGTTTAGTTAGAGAGTGAAATTTAGTGCAAACTAAATTTAACTCTAATTAAGTACATCATAATTTACTGAAAGGTAAGTAAGATACCTTAGAAATAGTTGTCACTATAAATAAGGAAAGATAATTAACTAAATTAGGATAATCCATCTTGGTGGGTAAATCCTTATTTCTAACACTTATTGGATTGGTTGGCTCATCATTTTCACCATGTTCATCATTTTTCTTATTTATTTGCATAATTAGTTAATAAATTATTTCAAAACTCTTATTTCTTTCTTGTATAAATAACAAGGATCACTATCTTCCTCTGGGTTCGACCCAGAATTCCTTATCTTATCATTAACTTACAAATTGATAAATGCTTGTGTAATTTGGGTCCTTCTTTTAATCTTATGCCTTTGCCTGCATACTTGGAATCCCTAACTTGAAGCCCACTAGTGTTTCTCTTCAGATGGCAAATAGATCATTGCAGTACCTACTTGGAGTTGTAGAGAACATTCTGGTGAAAGATGAAAAAAGAGAAATCTCTCAATTTAGAAGGACTCCTCCAGATTTTGTAATATGCCCCTTAACCTTCAAATATATGATTGGATGTGTTGAGAGGTTCTTGAAAGGTTTATTTATATTTATCTTCATTAGGCTTAAAATCTATCTAGATCACATCTTATCTCATCTGATATGCTAATATCTAATTTAAAATATTTTAAAATTTTAATTTTCACCTCAGCGCCTTCAATCCGTGCATGGTCAAGCTTTGTTTAGCCATGTTCATGCGTACCAAAGCAACATGTCTGCTACCAAAGATTCTCTTCCCAAGTTTGACCACAACTGGATGAATGTAGAATATGAAAGAATTATCGTGGTGGGTTTCATGTACAAGTAGAAATATCCTTCACAAGTTTGACCACAATTGGATGTGGCTTTTTTCCCCCCATATTCTTTAGTCCTTGACTCTGAGCTTTGTGTTTTAAGGCATTGTTTATGCTATTTTGTCTCCTTTTCCTGAAAATATACTAAGATATTTTGGCTAATTTTATCTTTAATTCATGCATTAATTCATCAATATAAGCACATAAATTATATATAAATCTATGTAAAATACTCAAGTAGAAGATATTTTCTTTGTCTTGTAATATAAATCCCAGTTCTAAAAAACACATAAATCAAAGAAAAACTAAAATATATGTGATATCTAAAAATTAATTTTTGCTTTTCATACGTCAATTAGATATCATGGATATATGGCATTTTTAAATATCAAAACAAATATATGTAACTTAAATTTTATATAGGGATTTGAAATTAGGAATTTTAATAATTTCCAAGATATGAAATTAAAATTTTCTATAAGGGATTTGAAATTGGGGATTTTAATAATTTTGAGAATTGAGGGTGTTTTTCATATTATTAAAGGTTCCATTGAGCTAGAATTTGCTATAGATGAGTATGGGTAGCATGGAAGTGGAATTAAAAATGATTTTGAAAGACTAAAGCTACTAGGTAGAGTCGGTAATTCGAACCAAGCCCGATGGGCTAGCCCAAACCCACTCAAAAAAAGTTAAGGCTGAACTTGGCTATATGAGCTTTTTTAAGGGGGTATGATACTTTGAGCCCAATTCGAATAAGCCAACCCGATTATAGCCTGAACCAAATAAGCCCAACCTCTGGAATTTCAGTCTATATGTGTATGTATAGTAGATAATTTTGGCTAAGCTTAACGGGCTAGCCCAAGCCCAGCCAAATAAAGCTAGGGTCAGGCTTAGCTATATAGGTTTTTTTTAAAGAGGGTTAGATACTTTAAGTCAATTTGAATAAATTTGGCCCAAATTGAGCCCAACCTGAATAAGCCTAACTCGCCTGAATGACCAGCTCTACTATTAGGGTTCATGTAATTCACTCTTTCTAGCATTGTATTAATGAAGAACTATATTGTTGTATAAGTTATTTGCAGTGGCATGAACTTGTAATTGTTTGAAGGGAGATCTTCCACAGGGAGAATATGCATTGTCATTTTATACCATGTGATATGTCTCTGCAAATAAGTTCAATAGTTGGCTTTTTATTATAAACCCCAATATTATGATTTTCTTTGGTCGGAAATGGGGTAAGCTTGAGGGAAAAGTGACATCTCTCCAATTTGTTTGGAAGGAAAGGAAAATTATTAGTCTAATCTTAATGGTTCATTTAAAATTGGATATCCAGATACATAAAGTCAATTTTAAAGCAATTTTCAAGTATCCTAGTGTCCAAAACACCAAACTTATGCTATCAACTACTTTTAAACCTTGAACGAAGTTTAAAAGGATATTTTGCACCTGATTGGACAATTTACCAAGTAATGAATACATCAATATCAAGGTTTGACCACCTAATGCCCATTTTCACATCACATCAGGCAATTCATGAAATTCACTAGATGTCATTTTTTAGGCGAAATCATCTCAACACAAAACATATAAACATCATAAGTACACTTGTAAAAACCTTTAACCTATTCCCTTAATATTTCAACAAATATACCTAATAGGTTAAAATACCCCAATTTTTCATTACAAGTGTGGTTATCCAAATATGCACTAAAAGATATGCCTATGCTTGTACTAATATTTTAGCCCTTCTACATGTAATTCAAAAATCTACAAACATAAAACCTAGGCTAAAATATCAAAACATATTGTACAAGAATAGTCCAAAATCATGTAGATTCCTAGCTAGCAACCTTAACTTTAAATAAATTCATTTACCATACCTAAAATGTAAAGTCTTCACAAACAAGAAGTCTTGCTACTCTTTG